GTAGTGGATCATCGAGTCGAAGAAGCGAACGGTGCATTTCACTAATCACCCGAAAGAGGGCGCTATAACAGTTTTACGCCGCTACACTTTGCATCTAATGTCTGCTTGATCAAAATGACCTTTTAGAGTTTCTGTTTTTTGTTAATTGACCGAAAACTGAAAGCTTTTCCCCCTACTCTTGGATCGCGCGGCGTTGCCACGTAAATTCGTTGCGAACTCAACTACATGGGTGCAGCAGAAATATGTGACGTAATGGGTTCGTCAACTGTGCAGCACGGGAAGGGTACCATTGATAGCTCAGTTGAAAAGTCGAGTCAAACTTTACGCAAATTCTACTTTTGAATTTATCGGAATTCTTATTTTTCATCTAATTTTCTCAAAATTAAGAAATTCTTTATTAGAAAAGCAACTTTTTACATTGGTTATGGCTGAAAAAGGATTTTTAGCGTGGTTGCTCTCTCTTCGTGAAGACGTTTTTGTCTGGATCCTAAACCGATCCAGAACTAGGAAGGGTGTCTTCGTCACTTTCGTCAATCGATCCTCTTGAATATAAGAGGCCAGATTCCAGAGGCTGCAGGTTCAAATCCCGCTCCAAACAATTTCTTTGTTCATCTTTACAATCATTCATAAGCACCTAGTCAGTTTTCCTGTATGATTTTTTTCGTAATTTAGTTTCATAATTGTTTATGGTAAATATGGATGGAGCAGGAAGTGGAAAAAACTCAGCTCTTCTAATGCCTTGTCTGTAAGTTTGAAGAAACACCATCGCTCCAAGATCACACAAAACGACTGATTAGGTGTTTCCCCTTAGTTATTATCTAACAAACTTTAATTTCCTTTGGGATTGTTTTCATGTGTGAAAGGGTCAAACCTGTCACAAACTAATGCCAAGCAGAGCTTTGATGTACGGCAATACTGCCAAAATATTGGATTGCTCCATTCTGAGGGACATTATACAACTCATCAGAAAGCTTTTTGGGTTTCTCTAGAAAATGGCAGTATGTTCAGAATTCCCATTAAGTTAGCAGAGTAGCTAACCAGCCTTGCTTTCCTCAGTTGCCCTCCCACAGTGCTTTGTATTTGCAATTACTACAACAGTATTTCTGCTACAAAGACAGTTCGTGTTCAGTTGTACGCCCTCATGAGTGAACAGCAGAAAGGCTAGATTGACCGAATGGTTCCTACCCCAGAAACTAATTAGAATGACAATTGCCAGGTAGGATTAGTGTGCTTATCTTGTCCAGCATGGACGTCACGGGCCCCTTAGTGGCTTCCACCACGCTGCTCCACTCCTAAACAAAACAAGTAAGAGCATTGCAAAGGGATAGATTGCAAAAGGAAAGGCAAGCGAACTGGTAATATCGGAACAATATTTATTGTACTGTACATAACGCCCTCGACATCAGTGTAATTGATTGCAATGTGTGTGTGCACTACTGGTATCAATCGTGTTGTTACCATGGAGGGAGGAAATACCAGCCATATCAGACGTTCGTCAACTTCCTTAATAACTCCCTGGAGAGTTCAGCAGGTCAGTTCATTGCAAGGTGTGGTATGGAATGTCACACATTGTAGTGGAGGTAGGATTAATGTCATACTTTGATTTTCAATGGGAATAGACAATTCAATGTTTTTAGAAATCAAATTAAAACACCAGGATCCATTATTTTCTTCGTATAATAAAACAAATAAGCAGTGCCCCCATGGAGTTGCGGGAGGCACAATAATCTGTCGAATCTCTGTTGTGTAGTGTGGCCCTGGTGGCATTAATTCACTTCGACTGAAAATAGCATTCAAACCAATTGAAGTAGCTAGCAACAACCTCCCGTTGTTGCATTTATTTAATTCTGAAAGCTTCTTTTGCCAAAGGAGATGCATGGTATCTCGAATACCGTTTTTTACGTGTGTTATTTCTGGTAGAATGACTTGAAAGTTCTATGATAAAATTTGAAACGTTTATTTCAATTGTTTCCTTTAATTACAAAATACCACTGATGAAATAATATTTTAAAGTTAGGGGTACCGCTCATAAGACACAAAGTGTTTGTGACATGTTCGTTAAACAGGCACAACATTAATACGTCGAACCGTCATACTGTTCGACTATTTGTCTTTCACTATGTCGCAGAAGTGATGGCGTTACTTGGCTACAAATAAAAATATCTCCGGCGTTTGTGGAAGCAGGTAGCCATTGCATTCTTTCATTTTAAATTGATACATGTGTTATGTACAGTTGTAGCCAATTAAATAAAACACTTCTCTTATGGGGTTGTTAGAAATCTGGAATACCAAAAAAATTTTGTTAAAATTAACGAGGAAACGTAGTTTGGCTTTTTTGGCACAGCGGCGCTCAACGATGCACGCACGGATGTTTTACGTTAAGCTTATCCACCAATCAGAAGTAATCACAAAACAAGGTGGTGATTCAAGAGAGTGGCTCGTGGTTGATAGGATCGCTCGTATCCTCCCAAAAGAACTCTTTTTTATTATTGCATCATTGACATCTGCCTAATTTTCACCAATGAGACCTGGTCATTAATAATGTCGGTGATCAAAGTTTCAATTGTGCCTCTGCTCTGCAACATCGCATGAACATCACTCATCAGTGAGGGTGAATTGGTGATGTTTTTGAGTGACAACAAGCAGAGGCCACTCAAAAACCGGGCCAAATCACTGGTCATTTCACTGTGTCGGTGATCAAAGTTTCAATTGTGTCCCTAGGCCCAATGCGTGTGCCAATACCCAGTAGAATATCTCAGTAGTAGGATATGAACGCATGATGTGTGAGTGACAACGGGCAGGGGCCAATCACAAAGCAGGTGAAGCTCGCCAGTCACTGCTCAGGAAATGGCTGGCCATCTTAAAAGCATGAGCGGCCGCGTCGGTCCTAAGAACGACAGCTGACTATCTCCACTTCTCAGTGGTGGCCTGAGAGAGAGAGTGTGTGCTCTCACCATAGCAAGGTGAGTGTTTAATCATACTACAAGTGCGCTCAGAACAATGCAAGATGCAGTGCTTTGAATATACACGATCTAGTAATAATACTTTCAAATCATCCGATTCGCTTACTATTCCCCTTACTACAGATTGAAGCTTATCTCTCTTATGACATTGGTCAAGATGCGGAATCACTGCATGATTGTAATTCTCTCAAACACAACGCTGAAACCAAGTGAAAACTGCGAGTGCATTTGGTTTGGTTGGTCTCTTTCTCAACTGGATATGTCACGCTTCGTAGATTAAAAACCCATAGAACTTGAATGTGTCGTTGTTGTCGTGTTCTTTAAATACGGAAGGTCTCTGAAACGAAAACCGCCCTATTGCCGTCCCAAATTTCTTCGAGAGGAGGATAATGCTAATCTGCTCACGGAATATATTAGTATTATTCATTGCATATGCAATAAGCAATCGAAAAACGTCATGCAGATATTAATCCGTCAGGATTGCGTTGCGTACATTATAAAATATTTCCCTTAGTACTTTGATTTGCTGTCGTCAGTCATTCTTTTCGCTTGCTGGGCTGTCTGTTTCCAATTTATTTTTATTTTGGGACAATAACCTGAATAAGAAAATCACGCCGCGTGTGTTTAAATCTCAAAAATATTGTCTTACATGTACTCAATTGAGGCCATACACGATGCAAGGGCAAGTACAGTAGTGTAGCGAATACCGTACATGTAGTCTTTGGCACCCTAAAGACTACAAAGTTTTGCCCAGTCAACACGTGACATCTCCTTAGTCCTCATTTATTAAGATTCCGTTACAAGGGCAAAATTATTAAAATTAAAATGGGCTACTCAAATTATATGATACCTTTGCGTGATATATATTGCTCTGAAAACCATTAAACTAAAATTACAAAGACGCTAACAGTCCCAAATCTTCTCATTTCAATATTACAGTATATACACCTTAGGGTTAATTTCATTTTAGATAATAAATTGCCTGGGTACGAATTTCTCTTTTAGGATTACATACAAAATAGAAACATTTTAATCGACCAACTGTGTTTTTACTCACCACAAGGGTTGGGGGTGATTCACTAACCTATCCTACCCCGGGGTCTACCTCTGTGACATGGACAAAAGTGGGCAAATTTGAATCTCGACACTTCATTCCTTTACACTCAATTGCTCAGCTAGAATTATCAGTAAAAGACTATCTCTCCACTTGTTTGTCTTTGTGTTAATTTCAGCACATACAGTCGTCCTCTTTATTTTTGAATTCAAGAGATTTACTGCAAAGTCAGGGTAAGGTTCTTTGTGATCTCCCTATTGCGCTAAACGTAATTTGTTTGAATGGTGATGAATTTGGTAGTGGAGGTACCTACATAAAAAGAAAAATGCGTCATTTTATGGCGTGATTTCACGAGTTTGACTAATTCAGAGAAAAAATAACTGCCGTTTTCATTCAACTAGCTTGTTTCGTGTTGGGACTGAGTACTTTGAGCAAAATCGAGAAAAAAATTAATGACCTTTTGAACAGTCAATCTAAAGACCTAATTCATCTTTCAGAAAATACCTTAACAACAGGGCGTTTCAAATGAGCAACTCGCGTTCTCTTGGTGTATGAACAGGGATGGGGGGTGCTCTCTCTCCTTTGCAGAGCATTTTCAACGGCCAAAAGTAATCAGTGAATTTAAATTGAATATGCCTTTTTTGACAATTTAAAACTGTAGATCCTTCGAAAGAAACGTCACTGAGCAGCAAAGTTGCTGCAGATGACTTGTGTCCACGACGTAAGATTCGGAGTACAGTATCATATATCCTAAATTATGTGCGCGTAATAAGGCCTCATGAGATCATTTTAGCGTCAGTTTGGGCGTCGATGGAGGTCTAAAATCTATTCTCAGATGAAATGATTTCTGGAAAACATGGGATGTTTAATGACTGGAAATCCTAGTTTTTATCATGTTTTTGAAATACTAATCTTATTTTAAAGACTAATGCACGGATTTAATTTAGACAAATGTTGCTTTGAGACTAATAATTTTTGTTCAAAAGGCAAATTAAAATGCGAGTGACAACTTGGATTAACAATTGAATGCTAGATTACTAATTTCATGTGATTGGTCGAAAGCTGTTTTAAGATTAACGAGTTGATGTCCCTCCCTATGATTTCTGAAATTAATTCACTGGTCCCATTAAAATATAATCGCTCTCTGATCAGCGTGCACCTCGATTCTGAACTTGCGCGTCATTTTTTCCCTCTAACTTTTCAAAACAGCGCCCTCTGAATGTCTGCGAGTAGACTGATTCCTGGCCACAAGTCAGAAGGGCAATTTGTTCAAGGAACCAGGCGAATTCGTAGGTAATTCGTACCTGATGAGAGATCCGTTTAATTACGACTGCGTAATGTTGACGTCGAACACACACAGCACACTATGGGTCGGTTACAAACTTCCTACCAGCAGATCAACAATTGACGCATGACGTACGATGTGCTACTGCTAGCCTTTGCTCTTTGATTAAATATGTCACTCATTTCCGTGTCAATTGCCAATATTAAATGTAAATCAATCCCACCCCCCCCCCAAAAAAATAACGCATCAATTCTGGAACTTTGGTCCCACCAGAGACCATTTGGGGGGGGGCTAACCACTTACTTTTTAAACTTTATTATTTATTGGTTTTGATTGAACTTGTTTTTTTATACAGATTAGATCTGGTGTCTGGTGTCGCGTATAACGGTCACTTGCTAACTCGCCGTGGCAGGTTAAATCATTGAATGCGTATCTCGGCGCGGCATTTATGCGATCTTGCCGCGGCGTGAAATGTGAAAAACGTCTTCTTTTCGGGCTTATCCCTTGAATCTTGTTGAAAAGATTCTTGATTTATATCGCAACTTACGTATTCGTTGCTCTGTATGCCCAAACAGACCTTCACTTTATTTATAATCTTAGCCACTCGTTGTTTATAGGCAGCCAAAAGAACAAATACGTTCTTCCACGCTGTTAAAAAAATTCAATTGCTTCAATCCCCCTTTCTCCTCCAACGATTGTTCTTGAAATGAAAAGTACTGCAATAACGTGTCTTCTTCCTCCACGTCTTTCCTAATCTTATTTTCAACATTATCCATTATTTTTATAATCATATTTTATTTCTGAATATGTGCGTTTTGTGGTCTGTCATCGCTTTACCATGTATAGTACGAAAATATCTACAGCTGTGATGTTGCAAAAAAGGGTTTCCTGACGTCATCGCTTGCAAAGCTCTTTGTAGCAGCCGGGTCGAACTAACTTTGTAAATTGGGTCCGCACCGGAAATTGCACAACCTACCTGGAGTCATACTTCTTTGAATTTCGAGGCGCCAGTCTGGTCATATAGGCCTATTGCCCACGATTTGCTATCAGTTGTACAATGCAGACTCACTGACTGTCTTAAAAATTTCTCCAGACCTCATTTAGTCTCCACTAACTGCTGACTGTGTGGTATCTTATTATACCCCCCTTATCGTAGCATTTGAAACCAAAATAATGCAATCGTTTGTATTTCTCAGTGGCGGCTCACGCTAAGAACCATTGTGCATAACACTATTAAGCGCTTGAAGGCTGTCTACTACCCACGCACGGTCAGTTATCTCTGGAAAATGCCCTTGCATTTGTTTACTGTTGGGTATTTAACCTAGGGGCCTGTCTATCACTAACCGGTTACCATCTCCATGAAAGTATTGCACTGAGGCTTTCCTACATGTCTTTCCATTCCAGTGGGCCCAAAACGGATTATAATAAAATGGCTTGTACAGCAATTAAACCCCGTTTGCAACAATGTCACTGAAGTCTGAATGGTTCTAGCAAACTGAGGAATTTGATTGATAATGCATGAGCATTGGGTTTAAGCACAAGCTATATAGGGTGTCTCAAAAAGGTAATCCAACTTTAATAGGTTAATATAGCTATATGGCATCTCACACAACATTTTTAGGGCCACAGCAATAAAATTGAAGACAGGAGCTTTCACATGACACCTTTCCTGCCTAATTATGTTATTGCATTGGTGAATACCAAGGGATTGAAATCATGACACCAAAACTGCTCACTTATTGAGCCTCGTCGCATTTCACTCGACCAAACTGCCACAACTTGATTGTGAATAATGTCTTGCCTGGTTATGCAATGGGTTTAATTCAAAAGGCCAGGAATCTTTATTCTGGCCATCAAACAAGTTTGGTATCATGACAGTGAACCAACCATATTTTTGCACCCTGAAGTCCGGGTGATGGTGCTCAATCATTCATGGCCCTGGGACAAGAAACCTTTGTGCCATTTAAGCGATCATAATCTTTACTTCAATGTGATACCATGATCCTTGCTGAAAGGTATAAAGTCTGGTCGTATTAACATCTTAAAGTTAGATTAACTTTTTTGAGACACTCTGTATAGTTGTTCAGGAAGCCTAGGTAAGGCCGCAAGCAAATGTGCGTGGCACGAATCAATCAAACAACATAACAGTTTCGTCCTATACGTTCCCCACGGGACAAACCAAAGGATTATGCAACCTCCTTTGACCATTGTGACTCAGAAAAGCACTTGTCATAGACCAAACAACGAATTCAATGCAAAATAATACCTACGGAATGCACACTGTGACGTTGGCTGACCCAGCTACTCTACACCTACTCAAATGTACTATTCTAATGCAAGCAAACTGGTTGAAATGTTCCCTCACTGAGCCTGTAAAGGCTGCAAACGCTAGGCCCTTTAGCTCCCTACTCCGTGTTTGCTATTGCGTCAGTGGCAAAAACCAAATAGGCCCTTTAAAGTAAAGCGTTCTGCCAGAGACCTTATTTGCCCTGAACTTTTCCTGCCATTTTCCCTAAATCCACCCGTCTTGGATTAGAGAAGCGCAGTCGGGGTAATCCCGACCAGGTCCTTCACTTTGTGTGATGTTTTATGAATTATCTTCACATAGTCTGAATAATCTTTACGTAACTAATCCGTAAACAGGGTCATCTCACAAAAAAGTGAAACATGGTAAATGGGTTTACGTGGTCTTTGATAGGTGTGCAGCTGTACTGCCCGGCACAACTTGCAAAACCCTTTTGGGCCACCAAAGGCCTACAAACATAGGACTGCCACAGTCGATTTTGATTCTACTCCTTGTTTATTTAAGACATCTCCCACAAGGAAGCTTCCACGACGAATGTATTCTCGAGCTTGGGTGGTGGGTTCATATACCCTGGGGGTTTTTATAATTAGCCATTCCCCATCCTGGTATGTGATAAAAGAACATATATGAACATGGGCATACACAGAGTCAATATTCACCAAAATATAAGGTTGCATTTGTCGGAACACTGACAGCGCTGCGCCTACCGATCTTAACAGCTGCTCCTCTCTTAGACGGCAAATAGCGAGCTACATGAATGAAACCTGAAGAAAATTGTCTTGTTAATACTGAAATAGATCAAGGAGATAGAAGGAGATCTAACCATTGCCTAAATGCCTTGCTCCCTGGGCGTTTGAATGCAAAGACCAAAATGGGGTTTGCGTATCTCTTACCTGTTCTTTCTGGATTTAAACAAACCTGCCCTCTTGCACCAACTCAACCTCCACCACAGAGAGAGAAAGAAACAGTAGTCTCATCCACGAAGCCTTTCCTAAACGTTTCCATTTAAAACTCGCGGCAAGCTGACCAATTTGGCAGGATCATGGAAACGGATGAGCACAGCCAGAGCGAACACGAAACGCGTGCGACCGTGCAGCAACCAGATTTTAAACTGGTGGCTTCTTGCGACCTCTCGCTTGCAGCGATGAAAATAGAAACAGTTTACCCCTCACCTGAATGTGGAAATTCACAACGCCAAAAAATAATAACAATGATAAAAATAAAAAAGAAAAAAATCATCTATTGTTGTTTCAATTAGCAATCTAAAATTCATTCCATCCTAAAGAAAACGGTACACTGAATAGGACTTATGAAACTATTGAAATATTCGCTGCGGCAGGATATCATTTGACGCCGAAGAAAGATCTTATAATTGCAGAGATACACATTCAACGATTATGCTCGCTACGGCAAAAAAGTAACGCGCCGCAACGAGATAGCAAGTGGCTGTGGCGAGAGATTTTTTTTTAATGACCCTTATCCATTTTAGCAGATAGGTATGTTCAATCCCGCTGGATTGGAGGGCAGCACATTCGTACGATATGATTGATTGTCTTTTTTCGATCAGTCCAGAAATATATGTATTTCCAGTAAGGCTATATGATGTATGGTGCACTATTTACGACACATTTCTGCCTCTTTCTAGCCTCTTTCAAGGTGACACAACTACACCACACAAGGGAGCCGTTACGTCGTGTAGTTGTGCCACCTTGGAAGAAGCTAGAGCGAAACAGAAATGTGTCGTAAAACGTATGCCAGAATGATGTCTCTTACACCAGTGTGCAATAGTTGAAGCGTGATTATTAATGACAAAACAATGTTTTGTTTTTATGTATTCGTCTTTCTCGAATTTTCCTTTTTTTCCTTTACCTGATACAAACGCAACCAAGGACTTTTCTTCATCCTTGGGCCATGGGCACAAGAACGCAGAATTCTGACGTAAATTCAAATATTTGCGCTGCTAGTTTGCATCCAGTAAGCGCTTATTTCACTGGAAATGTTTCGTGGCGTGAAATGTGATTTTCTTTCTGCTGACGTATGAAACGGATCACATCCCCCCCGTTGGGTTGCCTCCACCACACGCGTATCTGTGCAATTCAGTTTCATTTTCACAGTCAATTTTTGTGAACGGTGTTATAGCAATCTGCTAATGGCGATCATTGGAAACACTGAGCAAAGGAAAGGTTCCGGTAAATTTACTGGTTCATAACTGGGTAGTGTTTCTCGTTCTTTTTTCCCGCTGTCAACCAAATAATAACCTGTTTGCCTTTTTGCTAAAATTCTTTGAAAAAAACTTGGGCAAACTGGTCTTACTTGAAATCTGAAATTCAAAATGTCCCTTGTCAACTGACAGGAAGTAATGTGACCTTTCCCAAACTGATACCATACTAGTCTATTTACAATTTATTTTGATTCATTAAAGGCAATACGGATATTAGAAGGGCTAAATGAATAAAAAAGATCACACCGTGGTGTGCTGCGGGGACACTAAACTCCAAAAAGTCCTTTTTTTTAGGTTTCAAACAAAAAGACTGTGACCTATTAGTACTTTTCCCTATACTTAATTGGACATAATTTTATTAGTCTTAATCAGTCTTGGTGTAATAAGGACTTTGGATCCAGTTTCTTCTTTCATTTTGAAATAAAAAAACAGATAAATTTGGAGAAATCTTCATCTTTACTCCGCATTCTTTTACACTGTATTTCATAATTACTCAGCAAAAATAACAACCTTTATTAATGAAGAAAACTCTCTTCATGTTTGACTTTTAATTAATTTCAGCTCATATAGAAGTCTTTCTCTTCGTTTTTTACTTCAAGAGATTAACAGAGATATCGGGGTGAGCTTTCCTTTCATTTTTGCTGTTCAGAAATACCCCATACTATTATTGAGCAAAATAATTTTTTTCTTAAATGAAGAATACATCAAGAACCTAGTAACAAATTAATCTTTTATAGGGAAATTATTGTCCAGGTTTTACAAGCTTGACTAATGCAGCGATATGACATGGACTACAATTCTACAATTTCCATTTCACTAACTTGCCTCATGTTTCAATTGAAATGCTTTGAGGAAAGTTAACAAATACAGAGCTGCCATTTCAATGGCCAAACTAAAAAAAATGTTATTCGTTTTGCCCAAATCCTTGGACCACAGGGCGTTCCAACTGAGTGAACATTGGTCTCGTAGGGCGTGACCATGCATGGTATGTGATGTGGCGAATGCAACTGACACCTCTTGTGGTGGACCCTGTAACCGGCCGGATCAGAGATGGAATTGACCTGGCCCAACCCCACAAATATATTTGATAACCTTGAGCAAGGATGAGCGGCTACCCTGACACAAGGGGGGATATCAGCTAACGAACGGCCGACTAAGCCTAGGGGCAGTTCGTTGGGTGGAAGTTTACCACCAATTAGGAAAGACTGGATTTATCTGGCAATACAGTAATGAAACACAGGGAAACCTAAATAAACCTCACAGTGACACAGGATTTCCACGGACAACAATCAAGTATTTGATTTATTGCAATAAAAATCAATAAGGTACATAAATCACGCCAGGTTTATGTACACAATACACCTCACAAGGCAATACATTATGCCTCACGTGGTTAACTAACCACCCGACTAACTTAAACACAGCTAGTCTACAACCCAAGGGTTACCTCACTAAATAGTGATAGCCCTCACACAAATAACACAGAGTGTCATGCAAAACAGGGTCGATCTAACGAAAGGGAAATTACCCTCACAGTGATCTGAGTACATCAAGTAAACCTGAAGGCTAGCTAGCACAATGACAAGACTGCCTTCCAGCCCCACTATCAGTGCTTACAGACGACAAGCAATCGAACAGCAAAGACCACTAGCTTCCAGCCTAGGTTCACGACACTCAGCTCTATCACTAAAGTAATCTAGACCCAATACGGTTCGTTACTTCACCTACCAGTTATAGTCACTACATGCAGCGCCCCTGGTGCAACGTTCACGCTATACCTCGCACAGTCACAGCACAGAACGGTAGACAGCGTCCTCCACGATCCTGCTACTCTGCGACCCAGCAGCGAACTCACCAACTGATTGTGCGCGCTCTAAGCACGCCGCAAGCGCCCAGACCTAGTGTTCTACGCGACGCTGATTGGTCAACGCAATGCTTAATAATTCATGACTTAGACTGGCATTCATGCCTACCCCTGTTTTGTCACAGTGATCTTTCCCTTTGAAAAGAACATTTCTGACGACAAGCAATGATCGATATCATATTCCTTTTCGATGTTCAAATTGTGTATTCATGGATAGAAACTTCATCGAGAAATAACGTTCCTGCAGTTGACTCTTGTCCGTGACGTAACATATTGAGTTCAGTTTCTCCACATCCTATGCATGTGCGTGCGCAAATATGCTTCATGACCAAAAACTTGCGTTAGTTTACAGGTCAACTGAATGTGACATCGTGCTCCACTGCAGCGCCTTCAGTCAAACCTTCAAGATACTTTACAATTTACTCTACTCACTTCAGGTTAAAAATTGCATTAACAATAAAAGAAAACCAAAACAAACGTCCCTTAAATGTACCCAAACAGCCAGGGCTCTGACTTTCCAATTTGTTTTTTTTTAACTCGGAACGATATGAAAGACATATTTCCATAATGAGATAATATCCATTCGCAAAAACATGAAATTGTTCCATTATGAAAGATTAAAGCATTTCAACTGGCACCGTGTGTCCGTTAAAAGTCTTATTTTCAATATTTCGACTTAGTTAAGTTGTGTTTATGTCTTAAAGCTTTTGGAACCGTCTACAGTCAGCAGACAAAGGATATTGTAGCGTGTCCCGCTGAACAGGGTTCGACGCTGGTAAAGAATGACACTCAGGCGCAACTTGCCGTTTTGGTCACGAAATCTCTGTTTTATTGCTGTCGCGTACACCACAATGTGCTCTTCCGACAAGCTCTAAACATGGCGCCCGGCGGCAGGGACTGCGCAGGTGCGAGGTGGGAAAACCGTGGGCCATTCGCATACCAGCGCGGGCAGCCAGCCAACTCCATGCGGGTCCGAGCTGGCGCCCCCACCGGCCGGACCCGCCGGCGCTGCAATATTATTCAAAAGGATTAGTAGCACTAATTGCATTTTTAAAATAAACTACAAATGATAGTAACAACAAAACCATATGTTTGATCGAGTTTAAAAGTCATATTTTAAGGTATCAGGAGTGTTTGTTCATGCGTTGTTTGTTTAATCAAAATGACATATGACACAGCTGAGGTCGACTAACAAAGCATTGGGCAGATGTTTCCTTCACAATTCCAGCGACATTGTCAGTTATTTTCCTTCTAAGAGAGGGATTTAGGAGTTTTCAGTAATTCCGTGGCTATTTTGCATCTGTTTTCGTGAAAAATCGATAATACAATTCTGGCAAGACGCCCTTAATTCAAAGATAGGTCAGCCAGGACTGTACACTTTCTAAAGCCTGGTTTAGTCCAAGCTGGTTGGCACGGTTGTTGCCACCAACTTGAAATAACTATAACAACTAAAATTATACATCCAATGGAAGTCGGACTTCGTGTTTTTACCTTACTAAGGTGTTAAATCTCTGATGGGGCAGCAAAATGTGGAACCCACCAGCTTGGCTATTAAAAATAAGCCTGGTTGGAGGGAGTAATCGGCATACTTGATGTTAATGATGACCCTTGTTATGGATGCTGTTTGATTTCCATTGGATTCTCCAGTCAACATTTCTTCACTTGATAAAAGTTTTTAAACTTTGAAACATTAGAAACAAGTCAGGAAAGTATAAAATCAAAAGCTGGAAAGCACCTTCTAGAACTATGTGTCATATCGGTGCAGCATTCTTTTACCAATAATTTGTAGATATCTACCAACATTTTGAATACAACTGCAGGACGTTGGGGTTGCTTTTTTTTACTTTTTGCTTGTTGGTTCTAATTTAGTGGAGACTTCTCTGACCTGCTGCGTCCTGACGAAAAAGGATGATAAATATTCCCAGGTCTCTCTGGATACCCATTTCCCAGGCCAATCTGTGTTCTGTATTTCTATTTAAAATTTTGTTTTAACGTATTATGTATATGCTGACAGATATTTGATGAAGTCTCAAATAATTATGTCTCTTTGTTTCTCCTTTGTGGTTCCTTCTTTTAAAACTTATGTGGGGTTTTTATTTCCCCTTCTTTTTAACAGATGCATCTCTGTTTTGCCATCACCTTATCGTTTGTTATCCTTCTGGGTAACTTTATCAAACTTCAAGCTACTATTACTGGGCCGGCTCCTTCAAGCGGTGATGGTCCTGGGTCTCAGGTGTGCCAAATGTGCTACCAGGGACCTGCTGGGACCCCTGGCATTCCGGGCTTACCAGGAAATCAGGGTCAGTTTGGACCTGCAGGGGCAAAGGGCGATGCTGGGGTCAAGGGTCAGAAGGGTGAGATTGGCCCAATTGGCGCTGTTGGGAACCCAGGCCCAAAAGGGGACGACAGAATAGGCCTACCCGGTAAGGTAGGTCCAAGAGGTCCACCTGGTTCAGTTGGAAGCACTGGGGAAGCGGGGGTCAAAGGTCAAAAGGGCGAATCAGGAAAGACTCGAGATAATTCTGCCCACCGGGTAGCGTTTACTGTGATACGGACAAGCCACTCAGATACCTCTTCGAGCCACAACACCCGTTTGCCCTTCCAGCAGGCCGAGACACTGCTGCAGGGTACCAACTTCGATCTTGCAAGGGGTACATTCACATGTAATGTGCCGGGCACCTATATGTTCACGTTCTCCGTAGGCAAATATCCCTCTACCAGTCTGTATGTTCATTTTTGGAAAAACGACGCCAAGGTTGTCTCTGGCGCTAGCAGTGATCGCAATCCCTATGAGCAGGTATCTGGTAGCGCGGTGTTGGTTTTGCAACGACAAGACTCTGTATATTTGACCATGTACGGCAGGGTACGGGGTGAGTCAACCCATCGCTACACCTCATTTAGTGGCTTTCTCCTTTACCCCGAATAAATAGCAGGCAGACATTAATTTTACATAATTGCGTGCTAGTTTTTTTTTTTTTTTTTTTTTTTTTTTTGGTTTTTTTGTGTTCGGGTTCGTGTATGTTTTTAATACAAAAATCAATCTTTTTACTTTTTGTTTCCACTGTATTGTCCTATTCCAGTTGCACTGTGAATGAAAACTCCAGGGGCATTATGCATAGGACACTGCTCACATTTATTGTTGAAGTATAGGCTAACTTTTCTTCACATCTTCGCTTTATGTACATTCAAATATTACCTTAAAAATGTTTCACAAGCGGATTTCTGGCCTTTTAGTAACATATCACCTAACCACACAATAATTGAGTTGATATAGAAACAGAATGAATCTGAAGCAAAACACGAAACCAATGTTCTCGGAAGAGAATTTAAACTGCGAAGTTTTTCGTACAATTATATAGGCAAGTGGTAAGTGTCTAAATTAGGAAATTTGAGAGACATAGAATCGGCCTACATTGAGATTGTAACCAATATGACGCCTTTAAGCATGTTTATCCTTAGAAATAGTTGTTCGCGATACCCACTGCTAACATCCTGCTAACATCCTTTACTCGAACCAGCCAGCCAACACTGGTAAGCTAGTGGGGGGTGGTTAAAATGTCTGCACCTATTAAAAAGGAAGTTGCAAGCTCGACTCCGACCAGAGTATGCTCGTGTTTATTTTTTTTACAAGCTTTCGGGGAAAACACTGAGTATACAGTGTTAGACATTCACATCACGCGTGGGAAAAAATTAAAATTGAAGTAACCAATATAAATATTATCGCCATAATGAATTAGAAATACGATTCTATGTGTGTCAATCTTATAAAATTGAAAATAATATTTATGACCATTGTTCATATACATACAAAAGTAATGTTCAGTACCTAGATCACTTTACGCTGTCAGACTATTTTTCGTGGATTGATACCTCGTTTCAATAATGTTTAGATTCCGCTCGACCGTGGATGGCATTTTCGGTTCATATATGTCCATGAATGAGTGGTCCATGAAGGGGTCAAGACGAAGGAGGGGGGTCGATAGTAATGCGTAGTTTTCAAAGGCCCTTTATCTTCTGAAGTTTTGTCCCGACTGGTTGGAAACGTTGTATCCTTTCAGATACAGACTTTTAACATTCACGTTTGTGTCACGTGCTTAAGACATTTGCACTAGTAAGCAGGAAGTCTTGGGTTATCGCACTATTAATTTAAGTACAAACGTACACATGCAACTCATCGAGCGAGTTAAGGTCATTTGTCTAAAGTTAATAAATGGACGCCAGGACCCATTTAAGTAGTGCAGTATTACATAAACCACTGCGCAAGTTGACTTGCACTTGGACAAACAAGTTTTGTGACTTCCCTAATTTGGACAAAATTGGCTTATGCACTGACTTAACTTGACCTGTGATTAAATGACTTGTGACTTTACTAAAAAAATTGTGAGTCGGATTAGACTTGGAAAAATCGACGAAATGCCACCTCTCTCCCATTGCATCCCGTCAGAGGCAACTGTGTTACCTTTGTATGTACTTTTGTAGGAGCAATACAGACTTAGTGCCATGACACACTCGTCTTCTGCAGATGAAATGTCTGAAATTCTACTTAAACTGTGTATTTTTATCCGTGTTGTGACTCCATATCACGTCAACTGAAATGTAATTTATGTTTAATAGATATATAAACCAAAGTAAAGAAAGTGTCATCAAAATAGAAAGACCACTTCCTTCTCCTGATGGTTAATGAGCAACGAACCTATGTCTGCGATGACAAACAAACCATTCTAGTAAATATTCCAATAACAAGCATGGATGGTGTTTTTGTGTACACCAATATCCTACTGTTACAGATGGGACATCTCTTCCTTTATAATTCGTCTGCTGTTTTTGATTTAATTCTTTCTTTAGACATTTGTGGTATTTTAAGTCTAACCTGTTCTGCAGCAGACCCCATGTATTGTGCTTTGTACCCAGTATTCTTTTGATAAGATGTTGCCCAGTGGGCTGACTGGTTATGTAATGGCTCTTTTATTATTTGCTGGGTGCGCATGTATTTAAGAAGAGGGTTGTACCATTCTTGGGTGCACTCATCACACCACACTCTGTTCTTTTTTTCAACTGATGGGTGTCGCCAACCTTCATCACTCCAGCCAATGTCCAATTGGCTCTACAGCTATACACCGCCTGCAGATACAGCGAGTCACCGCTGTACTCTTCTCCTTCAAGTTGGTGACCCAAACCAACCGGTTTTGCGGCTCTTCCTAGATGGCCTAGGACCAGACTGGTTCTGAGGCTCTACCTAGATGGCCTGGGACCAGACCGGTTCCGAGGCTCACCCCAGATGACCTGGATCAGACCAACCCGGTGCACCAGCCAGTGCTTCAGCCAGCTGTACCTGAGTCGTCCCTCTGGTACAGAATATCAATAGTCAACTTGACAGCATTCACCCAATCAAGTCCTCGACAACAACCTATAATTAATTATTTAACTGTATAAACAAATAGAAACCTAGATTTAAATTGCTTTATTATTTTTGGTATGTAAACTGAATAAATTTCTGTAAATATAGTTGCTGGTTTCCTTTTCTATGCTGTCATGTTCGTCTCTGTCGTGCCCTACTTCATTTTGGTTCTTTTGAATTAGTCGCACGTAACACCGACAAGTGAAAACGATCCAGTACGTCTGTAATACCTTCAACAACACCAACCACAGCTACTTAATCCCCTAACCACCAATTCAATAGATTATTTAAATTGTTCTGGAGCTGGGGGGGGAGCAAAATCCTCCCCTGTTGATTTTTGCTTTTAGCATATCCGGGATTAATTTCTGCGTGCTGGTACTTTATGGAAATTTTTTTCCAATGTATAATCAACTAATTAATGCAAAATATAACAATCACCTAAATGTAATTTTGATTTGTAAATGGAGGCTCTTAATGCATACCGTTGACGACCAGAATTTGGATTGATTTTTTGGAGTGGCAGGGCTACCATTAAAGAAACGATAATTTGCCTACCAGAAATCAAGCAATTCTTATAAAAGAGCAAACGTCGCAAACTGCAGGCTAGACAAAGGATTCCAACTTAAAAATTACCACGGACATACTCAGTTTCGTGTCGTGAAGAGTCATCAGTAAACCATTTTTTCGTCTTGTCCCTGATCTCTGACCTGCCTTCGAAAGTGAAAACATTTTCTTTAAGCGTATTCTCAGTAAACCAAACTAAAAATGAAAATATGGAATTAATATTCGCTCATAGTCTAGAGTTAGTTTCATTCATGAAGTGATGAGTCAATTTTTGGCAGGATATTTCGATTTTCAAAGCCCTTTTCCCGAGTAACTGAACGAAAAAATGCTACGAATTCTAAAATCTTCCCACGTTATTTTTTCCTGCAAAAGAGTTCCCAAGCAAGCCGTCAGGGGTAAACTTTCAGCTCCCCCTTGGCTACTATTTGATAATTTAACTTAATATAAACCTGAGACAAGATCAGGATTATTTGGGGAGGAAGTGAATTGCACTTACTTTAAAGTCTGCAGGGAAGCCATTTTGACCAGCCTGCTCCTTCTTGCAGATGTATTCTGCAAGTTCATCAACGGCAACAGATGAAAGTTGACTGAGAAGCTTTTGTATGAGATGCTCATGTGCATTTCTCTCGGCAGGTGGTTGTGGAGGTAGCCGTCTCGGTTTTGGCTTCGTACTGCCTAGGCCCAAGCAGGACTGCGCTGACATCTCCACTTCACTTTTGTTTATGAATGCATGCACGTGCGTGGCAGATTCTCGGTGTGAGACAAGAAGCTTCTCTTTCTGGTGAGGCAATGCTGCGGTGAAACCCTCTGTGTTGACGTAGTCGGCGGATGGCTCCAACGTGTATTCTGCAACCTCATAGGGACTTGATCCGCCCGGCATCGTCTTTATGGTAAGCTGTTTCTTTTCAAGTTTACGGTCCTGTGCATTTTTTTGTTTCAGAGAAATGCTCACGACACCATCGCAAAGGCTATACGGGACGGGGCCCATGCTGGGCTCTGGAACAAGGTAGGACACGTCTAAACAGAATGTGTCGTTAAAAAGATATAAAACGACTTCTGGTAAATCAGAAGAGCTTAAAAACAATATCTAACATGGCAAAGAGAGCCTTTGAAAATGAAGTACCTGGTTCAACAATGTTGTTTGCCTGATGGCTTGAATTAACCTCCACCCCGTGACGTCACCGTATTGTTCTGCCGCTACATTATTTAGTACGAATGGAGCGATGGAAGCATCACCTTCCCATTATTTGGAAGGACAAGGTCTCCATCACTTCATTCCTACAAAATAATGGAGTTTTGGTTACCTATTTTGCAGGAATGTTCAATGGAAATCATTCTTAAAACATAACAAAATTACTGTTTTTACCGATAATAATAGAATTCATGAAGATATTTATTTTATGTAAACGTACCATTTATTCCAAGGTGCATTGTACCAAACTATCAACAAGCTTGACAAGTCTGATGTTTTTATGTTTCAAAGCTCCGGCTGATTTGTAAACAATAATTTGGATAATGCGAGACAGTTTAAGTAAAATAATATTTCTCTTAAACCCAATAATTTTATTTTGTACGGTTTATCAATACATGCAGTTTACGCATTTTGTAAAAAAAATGATATAAACAGCATATGTTAAATGTTTAAATTCAGTGTCGGTGTAATATTTCTTTTACCCTCATTATGAGGCTAGGCAGTAGTCCCAGTCGAGGAGGCGGGCCTTTTCTTGAATGTATTCTCCTCTGTTTGAATACCCTGAGCCACACAATTGACCTTGCGTTTGAGTGCGTCACTGGTGAGTTTGTATCCTCTCAAGGCGCTGGACCTGTGTCTGGTAACTTTGCAGAAAAGTTGCTCATCTACCTCGTTGTCATACATTCGAGTTGCTGCACTTGCACGGAGGGAGTGGTTTGTGCTATGTCCCACAATACCTGTACTTTTGCACAAATCTGACACGACAGAGGAAAGTTTTTGACGCCCCAGTTGAGGTGCAATGTACCACAAATCGCCTTTAGGATTAGCCAGAGGTCTAAGGTAGCAGGCGTCTGTTGCTGGGTCAGCTGGACAATTCTGAAGACACTTTTTATACAGTCTCACAATGCAGCGGGACGGACTGACCTTGTTTTCATGAGCCTCAAAAACTTTGGACTTAATTTTGCAGTGTTTTAGTCCTCCTTGGTTTGTTTTGGGTACATCTTCAACGTATCAAAGAAACTTCCCACCGTCCCTGTCTGTGTGAACAGAAAGCTGCGAATCGTGGTGAAGTAGATTCCTGTGTTTTTGATCCCCACGTAGTGCAAAGTTTAATCAAATGAGAAAAATCACGGTGTTCAACAACTTGGACTGGTTATCGCTTCCAAGAACGCCAGCTGACCAAATTAGTTTCTCCTCCTCCAAGCTTGTGACCTCAGCTTGCTTACGTTGATTTCCCAAACCCTCCTTGGCATGATCCTTCATAAGTCTGTCCAGTGTATTCTTGATCTGTAAGAAGTCAGGATCTTGCAGGAATTTGTAGGCCTTATTCATGGTGTCAAAACAAAGCTGAAGACAAATCATGAGTTCGTGAAGTGTTGCTCCTAAGAATTTCTCTCCATTTTGTTTGTTCACCTCGCACAGAAATCTTGCAATCGAATAATTAAGCTCATCTTTGGTCATATCCTCAAGACAAACATTAATAGTATTTATGTTCAATGTTGGGCAGTTGATGGCTCGCTGGTTGCGCTGACCTTGCCATTGACGATAGAGTCCTAACGCCTACTTAATCTTCTTCATAGTGTTATCGGAAAGTCTGAAAAAAATAATAAGTAACTTTTGGGACCAAATATTAGATATTTTTAGCACAATCTTGACCTTTGTGCAAATTCTGTACTCTTGAGTACTTTGCCGAATGTGAAACTATAAAGCGTACCGAAGAAACCTTTATACGCAAAACACCAATTAATTAACGTTTTTGGCAAAAGCAAAATAAGTGGTCTAGGAAAGATTTACTATTGTACCCAACCTAAAATGGTCATAAACCGAATAGTCTTAGAAAAGAGCCAACTTCCATCAATAAAGTGTCAAAATACATGGCACAACCGGTTAGTTCAAAGTAACATGCATTTTGCACACCGAGTGACCCTGAACAGTGCACAATATCACCAAAACAATTTACCCTACATAGCACCAAACGTTTTACAAGATCGTTAACCTGACAGGTTTTTAAATGTGTTTTTACAATTCTAAAAAGAATATGTTGTTATTTTCTTAAATTGTTGGGTTTCTAACCATTTTTGGCGGGGTACAATTGTAAAATCTGTCTGCGATGTATTTTACAGCTGTTTTCCATTGTAAACGCTGAAGGTTAAGATTCAGTTGGAGATATCATATTGAAGAAATGGTCCGCTTTGATTATTTCACACTTATAAAACTTTGTTCTAAAGCTTTCGTAACCTCTTTTATGTGCAAGAGTTGAATAAACAAGAAACATATCACATAAAACAAAGTTAAAGAAAGAAATACCTTCATTTTTTCTGGAGAATGCTTACCTTCTTGTATTCGTCCTATCTCTTCGTCTCCTTTTGAAGTCTCAAGACGGTTCGTTTAGATGACGGTTTTTCTCTAATGCTTGGGACGCTGCAAGGAGCTCATCGTCAGATATATCAGATACTATCCGCTGGTAGCTACAGTTTTCTAATTTTACTGTGGTAGGATTTTGTAAGGCCAATGCATCAGCTACCTCATCATCAGCGTGATACTCGTCACTGTCTTGTGACTGAAATACATTCCATGTTAGGAATAGTCCGTCATCACTGTCACGTTCACTCCACGCCATGTTGATACAGAATGAACCCAGCTGTTGTTGTTTTGTTTAATGGCACTTTCAGCAACTCAGGTTATTTGCGCCGATAGCTTACGTTTATTTATACACTTTATTAATCAGCAGCACATATCGGTGTTAGGAAGAAGGTCCAGTTTTAGAGCGAGGAGGAAACCTGAGTTCCCGGAGAAAACCTACGAGAACGAGTATGGGGTGGAAACCAAATGCACTTAAGGCCTTGGCCAAGCTGGGACTCAAAGCTGGGACTCGAACCCAGGCCTCATTGGTGCAAAACAAGGAAAGGACCGCTACGGTAACCCGCTCCCCCCCATGAACTCAGCTTAATTGTACAATAGCTTAAATATTGCGATACCAGACACCTGCTCATTCTTACTTGAGTCAATGCTACGGCCACAGACCACCCACTCATTGTTTTTCCTAAGGTGGACCGAGAGGGTGCTACTAGCTGAATATTTGCGTACAGAAAACGCAAACACGTAGGCACCTAGCACATTACCTGCGAAGGTTGCGGTTGCAAGATCAAATCTGGTACCCGGCAGAAGCGTCTCAGCCTGTGTCGTAACCAGTGTTGGAGGTCTCGAGACCTGGTCTCGGTCTCGAGACCGTCTCCAGACCTTTTTTGGGGTCTCGGTCTTGGTCTCGGCCTACAAGAGTCTCGGTCTCGGGAGGGTTGGTCTCGGTCTCGTGAGGGCTGGTCTCGGTCTTGGTCTCGGCCTACAAGAGTCTCGGTCTCGGGAGGGTT